TCATGCCATTCTCACTCATATGCCTGAACCGCATATGTTATTTTTTCGTAATTTCATCATCTGTCAAAGGAAAAGTAGAAACTGTTGCATCCCTAATTACTGTAGAACCATGCAAAATGTACAACTGTATAGAATTTTTATGTCCCTTAATGACAACAAGAGCACCCCGGCTCACCTTCAAAACTCCACAGTCACTAGTGTATCTATAAACCCTTTAAGTCAAGTACACTTAAAGATATGAGATTTCACTTTAGTTCTGGAACATGCCTTATACCTCTAAGTGTTCTAATAGTCCCATCGAACATTTTGATTCTAACTATACCAACTTCGACTTTTTTGTAAGGCGCGTTGTTTTTCATAATAACTGCACCTCTCGAAACTCCTTCATATGTTGAAAACCAGTCCCTGTTGGGACACATATGAAAAGTGCAAGCCGAGTCAAGAACTCATTCCTCATATGGTTTGGAATTCATGTCAAAAATCACGAGAAGCTCTACTTCACTTTGCTCATCTTCCACAACATTAGTCTCTACTAAATTAACAAGTTGATTTTCTTTCTCAGTAGCACCAACAGCTTTATTTCTATTCGTCAAGGCATAGCAATCAGATCTAATATGCTCATTCTTCTTACAATAGTGACATGTCTTGTTAGCATGTCTAGATTTCGATCTGCCCCTCATATTTCTGCCATCTTGATTTCTCTCATGCACAACCAAACTTTCAGCATGATTCACAAATCCTCCAGCAAAATACCTCATCTTCTTCTTAGATAGTAAAGCGTCATAGACCTCTTCCACGATGAGAATATCCAGACTATAGAGAATATTATCTCTAAAAGTCACATATAATGGCAGTAGAGAATAAACAATATCAAGGCCAAGTCCTCCTCATCATACTTAACTTCTAATGTTTCCAAATCGGCCACGATTTCTTTGAACATAATTAAGTGATCATTCAATGACGCACCTGCAGACATCCGGTGAGTATACAAGCGTTGTTTCAAGTGTAGCTTGTTGGTCAAGTTCTTTGTCATGCAAAATTGCTCCAACTTCAACTACAATGTAGTGACACTTCTCTCCTTGAGAACATCTTGAAGAATTTGATTTGAAAGATGTATATGAATTTGAGATTGAATTTTTCGATCCCTATGCTGCTTTTTATCACGCGTACAGGTAGCAGGCATCCTAGCAGAGTCAAGCAAGACTTCCTCCAAATCCAATTGCGCTAGAACCGCTCGCATCTTCACTTGACATAAGGTAAATCTCGTATTTTCGTATTTCTATCAAACAACGAAATATCATACTTCATTGTCGACATGTGAAACAATCAACCTTACTTTGATACCACTTGTTATAAGTTCGGATCGCAAGATAATGACGATAATGAAATGAAGATGAAAAAAATAAGAACACAAGAATTTTAGAGGAGGTGAATCCAGTATAATCAATAGTTTAGTGTTTACAATATCAANATAATGACGATAATAAAATAAATAAGAAGAAAATGAACAACAAGATTTACGTGGAAACCCAATACGGGAAAAAATTACGGGTAGAGGAGAAAAATCCATTATAACCAATAGCAATTGTGTCTACAAGATCTCAATGCAATCAACTGAAATCTAAAGCTCTCAAAATACATACTAGAATTTGAGTCAAACCACAACAAAAATCACGTTTTGAATATTGATTTTTAAGAGAATATGTGGTTTAAAAATAGGAAAAAAAACCTAGGTTCATGTATAGAATGTTTTATTAGTGACTGTGTGGTTAAAAATGAATGCATAGAAAAAAGAGTTTGAAAATAATAGTTGTCAAACCGAGGTTGATATTAACACTTTACTTGAATTCAATGATGTATTTAACAACAATAAAACCATTTTTTAAAACTATGATTTAATTTTTAATCACAACATAATTAGAAATTTAAAAATCAAACCTTATAGATTGCATCGACTCAATCCAAAATATTTGCATCATTCAAACAGGGTGCAGGAGCGTATGTTACTAAGCTGTCATTAACCACTGAAATACTAAATTTCACGAAAATTAACATTTTAAAGTCATATCGGAGCGTCTATAATAGCCGTTTATTAAGCAACGGCCACGATTGAGCAAACTATCCCAACGTTTAGTTTTCTCCCAACGGTCAAAATCCCAAAAAATATATAAACATTTTCCATAATGTAGACCCATACAATTTTATCCCTCTCTAAAATCTGAGAACCCTCCAAGGTTTATAAACCCAACATTTTATTTTAATTTTACGGAATATTCTTGAATTTGATTTGAGGGAAGATGAGTGTTTTACAATATAAAGAAGGCGATAATGCTGATCTTCAGATATGGAACAATGCCGCCTTTGATAACGGAGATCTTAAAGTATTTTCTGGGAATAAGCCTTATTGGAGTCCTTCGAAGCCCGTTTTGTTGAATTCAACAGAGTCGTTCATCTCAAATTCTTCGAGCAAAGAGAATGAGGGTCCTCTGTTTGAGAACCCAATTTCTTCTGTTTCTTCTTCTCTCAGATCTGTGGTGACACCCTTCAAGCCGGTAAATTCTAATGGGGCTCCGGAGAATTCGAAAACTAGAGGAATTTCGAAACAGAGTTTTGAAAGAAAGGTGGATTTGACGAGTTTTGATGAGGAAATTGAGGAGATTGAGATGGAAATTAAAAGATTGACTTCAAGATTAGAGGCTTTGAAACTGGAAAAGTCTGAGAGAAGTGTAAAAACTGTGGAAAAGAGAGGAAGGGTAATCCAGGCGAAGTTTATGGAACCGAAACAGAGTATTAAAAATGAGGAAGAGAAGAAAGAGATTGAACAAACTTCATCAATTAGAGCAAGAACTGGGGTTCAGAGGAAGGGGCTTAGTTTAGGACCTGCAGAAATTTTTGCTGGAGCACGAAGGGGAATGAGTATGGGGCCTTCTGAGATTTCTGGATCTGCAAAATCCCGGAAATTGGGCAAGCAAGAAAGGATAACACCTGCTCAGCCTATACAGAGTAAGGGGCTTAATTTGGGACCTGCAAAAATTGTTGCTGAAGCGCGAAGGGGAATGAGTATGGGGCCTTCTGAGATTTTTGGATCCGCAAAATCCCAAAAACTTGGAATGATCACCCCTGTTCAGCCTTTACAGAGTAGACGAAAATCTTGCTTCTGGAAGTTACAAGATATTGATGAAGGGAAAGTTATAAGTAAAGAAAGGGGGAAAAGTTCAAGCGTTAGCCCTGATTCAAGAAAAACTATTGCAAATTCTCGAGTTTTATCAAGACAGGCTGTTACTACAATTGTATCCAAGAAGGCTGTGAAGAAAGAGGATCGAATGGTAAATTCAGTTCAGCCCAAGAAATTGTTCAGAGATGGCGAGAAGTCCGTTCCTGCTAAGCCATTAAGGACAGGGAGAGTTGTGGCGAGCCGGTATAATCAGAGCACAAATCCTGCCTCCGAAATGAGAAAGCGATCCTTGCCAGAGAATGGTGAGGCTGAGAAAAGGGGTGATAAGAAGCGCTCTCTATCAGCCGGGAAATCACGTGTAACTTTCATAGATGACAAGAATTTAAGCATTGAAAGTCGGGTGAAAAAGCGATGGGAAATTCCGAGTGAAGTTGTTGTTCATAGTAGTTTGGTGGAGGCCCTGGAGGGTGAGAATTCTCCACGGTCTACTACTGTTGTACTTGATTTGCTTCCAAGGATTAGGATTTCTCAGTGCACCAATGAGAGCCCCCGGGATTCTGGCCCTGCGAAAAGAGTGGTTGAATTGATTGGGAAAAAATCGTACTTCTGCAATGATGAGGAAGTGGAGCCATCAGTTTGTCAAGCCTTGAGTTTTGCAGAAGAAACTGAAGAAAATTAATGGGAACAACAAAAAGAGGTTAAAAAATTATCCTAAAAATTCTCAACTCCCATATTACAGCACAGTTCTTCTGAAGTAATACTCTGAGCTATTAGTTCTTAATTTTCTTTAATGGGGGATTATGATTGTAATAAGCTTTTCATTTTAATGTGTAATGAACATTGAGAAAGCATACTTGTGCCTTCTCCTACTACTACATGCCCCTGTGAAATCCTTTCTGGTATAGTTTTCTTCTTGCCCTCTTCGTGATTGAATCTTCACGATGACCCAAATGATTGAATTTTTGTCTATCGAATCGACCCTCAAACTTTTGTTAAAACTCTACAAATCAACTCTTTGTTATTTACTTCATGGTATTTACAAATAAACAAAGAGTCGGATAAGAATGTTGTCCGTAAATTATGCATTCACGTTTTCAATAAGATATTCATCGGCAATATCCAAACTTGTCTTAAAGAAAATTAGGTAGGCAGCGTGAATGATGCGGACGATTACATATGCACTCTAGCTTTTAAGGTTGATATTCTCATAATTTCATGGGGAGAATCTAGCTTTCAGTAAAAATAATATTATTCATAATCAGCGATCGTAGTAGTCATCTTATATTGCACCTCTTGATTTGCCACAACAAAATTACATGAAGTTAATACCCCAAACAACAAGTTGTCATTGTCACGTAGAATGACTACTCCAATCACCTACTATGAATAACATTGCTTCACATTTTGTGCATGAGTGAGAAAATCCTTGAATTTAAAATGTCCCTACTAGTCAGGGACTGTTGCACTACTTGATAGGACAAAATGTGAAGTCATGGGGATCAAAAGTTAATGCCAAGCCGAGTTTGCACACAATCATGCTAACAAAAGGAGAATGGGTTTTAGCCCTTTTCAGATGGTGTATACTTTTCACTCTCGAATAAAACTCACTAACACGGTTACCCGGTTGATTTTGTAGATAGTCTTGAACATGTTCATGATGCTACACCAGTTTCACTCTCAACTTGTATGTTACAAACAAACGACAATGCAAAATAAATAATGCAAGTCATATGAACACTGCTCGTATCAAACTGCGGAAGAATACACAGTGAAGGGTGGGGCATTAGAATAATAGCATGTACTTCGGAACATTCACATGTCTGCCTCAGATACGGCTTGAATCTCTCCCGAAAATGAATCTCCTCGTCCAATCACTTACTACTAATACCCTCGTGCGCCAGCTAACTTGCTTGCTGAGTGTAAAGAAAAAATCAAATCATTTCGCGGAATTAACATAACCATCACACGTTCAATAGAAAATAATGTTATTGAACCAAGTTCTCACCTTGCATACACAGAATACCAGAGCCATTGCGTGCTATGGCCCATTGAAACCCAATCTCCCGGCAGTTCTGCTGCTGCTTGCTCCCCACCAACGGGTGCAAATTTCCCAAAATGCCTGTACCTGGTAGCAAAGAAGCTGGTGCATCAAAATTTTTATGCATGTACCAAAGCATTATGCTGTACAGAAAGGTGCATTTTCGATACATAATGCCTAATGGCTATCAAGAACTCAATCTACTCTTAACAGGCTAAAGAGGCAATAATTTATCGAGTAGCATATGAAACAGGCGAAGTACTTCCATACCCCTCCACAATTTTTATGCCATGGTTAAATCCTGGCAATAATTTTTAGATGCTTTACAGGCTCAGGAAACAAAATATCTAGTACAAGCTACTTATTGATGATTCTCGGTGAAATTCGAAAATTCTGGTGGATTTTTAAACAACAATTTTACAATAAGTTCCATTAGTTGATGCAATTAACATCAGGAAACCAATTTATATTCAAGCACCGGAAATCAACCTAAACAAATAATTACAAAAAGGATTCCAGGAGATGTATCATAGCGTACCAGAAAATTAAACAAGTGAAAACCACTTAAGCTATAAAGGACTCAAACTGGCAATATGCTAGTACTAATGGGACTGGGAAGGCAAAAACAGAATTAAGTTACTTGTATAGATGATGTGTACACCTTTGTTGACAGATGATGAGGT